ACACACACACACACACACACACATAGAGAGAGAATGGGCACATCTTTTTGAAGGGATACTCAGAAGTCCTGAGCCTTTCGAGTGTCTTAGTGCCAGTTTAGAGAGATTTTCCCCTTGATATTCTGCCTCTTTCCCTCCTCCAAGAATGCTTGGATCCTTCAGTAGATTTAACTTAACAGGATCATGATGATGTCAGTGCATCCGTGTTTATGTGTCATATACTGCAGGTTATTTCTCAGCACATTTTCCCATTGACTGCTACTTTCAGTCTTTTCAGAATTTGACAGCTTGAGGAACAAATCCCCTAGCAGAAGTCCAAAAGAGACATTTAAAAGACCCTGCCCAAACTCTTGAGTTTTGTCCAGAAGTGATTTGCCAAATAGGCAAGTCCACCATGACAGGTCCCAGTAGGGCCTGAAGAATGAGGATCCTGTAGCCTTGCCGTGCTGCTTCCAGTGACAGCATTTTGTGTTTAATGCATATTTAGCGAGCAAAATAATGCACCATGAAAATGTGTAAATGCACATTTGCCCAAGAGACAAGAGAGGCTGAGAAAAAAAGGTGTGAAGAACATAATGGAAGTTTAAGAAATTTCCATGAAAGGAGAGAAACTCAAGAGGGAACATTCATACCAAACATAATTTGCAGTTTGGGACCTTGCCCCATGTGAGCAGAACTCTCAAACTTAGAGTTGAGCAGTGCCTGGAATCCTGTACTTCAGAGCTGCTCAGATACGGATGCCACCAGTGTATCAAGTGCAAGGTCTCTAGCCTTACTCAGTTTCCTAGTGTGTGAAAATGGGCATGGATTATTGAGAAGAGTAAATGCAAAAGTGATCATGAAGATATTCAAGTACGTCAACCCGGTACATAACAGCAGCTCAAGAAATAATCTGTTTCTCTTTTCTTCCATTCCCGGTAAATTCTGCCTCCTCCCAATAAATTCTTAAGAAGAGCTATCATTGCATGAATGATCGACATTTAGCTCATGTGCTGTCACCTGAATTTTTACCAACAGTTTGATCCAGAGGTTATTTCCCCCCAGTTTATCCCTTCAATCCTTTTCTTCCCCTCTCTCCTTAAGTATACGTGAAACAGAATCCACTAATACTCAACTTTGGGCACAAAGGCCAAAGGGTGAGAAATGTGAGCCAGATCCTCAGTGGTCTGTGACTTTTTAGGGACGACCCATTTCTCGTTCACCGCAGAGAGGAAGCAGAAGTTCTCATCAGCTTGGGTCCCAGAGGGGGACAGGAGGGAAGGAAGGGCAGTGGGTGTGGTCTGGAATGACTGTGGGAGCCCTTGGCCCTAGAGAAACTGCTTCTCTGGGAAAAACTGAATAGCCCAGAACGTCAGAGCTGTATCACTGCTGACAGAGCCCCATGAGCAGCATCTGAAGTGGTCGTTGTGGGCCAGTAGAGCCATGGCCAGTCTAGGAGTCCAGAGGTTTGTGTCATTTGCCAGGCCTGATTCCATGGACTGCATTGTCAGCATGGTCAAGGGTTTGGATAGTGAAGGAAGCCCTCTTAGTTTTGAATCCTGTTGAGTAAAAGAACACGGGAGGAAAATGACACCACCATCTGTGTCGGAGGACACTGATTTTGGCAAGATAAGAGCCAGGAGGCATGGCGTACTGGAGGAGGTGCAGAGGTTCTGTGGCACAGTCATGTGAACTGGCTTAGCCTCCCAGATGGCAAGTGTGACTCCACTTTTAAAGTGATGCAAGAGAGATGATAGGAGTGAACCGAAGCGCGCCTCCTCCTCCTATGGAAATGGGACCATAGCATTGAGGTGAGGCCCAGGTGGTTTAGGTAGACCTACGTTTATCCCTTATCATCATCATTCTGTGGAGGATCTAGGCTAAGTGTGCTTTATTACTTTTCCTTAGCTTCCTCCATTTCCTAAAAATGCAATTAAAAGATACCTACTTTGTGGGTTATTTTTAATAATCTCGTTAAAGGAAAGAAGATACTAGATCATCTATTGCAATATTTGGTATCAAGCTGGCCCAGAAACCATAGCTGCTATTGCTGTGTATTCAAGTGTTTTATAAGAAACATGGAAAACTTGCCTACAGGGAGTCTTGGATAAGGATTCTAATCCAAGGCTTTGTAAAGAAGCCATTCTCCCCTTTTCTGAGTGATTTCTGTTGTTTTGCTCTTCTCCCTGCATTCCCTTGTTTTCAGAACACCAGTTTCCCCTGGCTGGGTTTATAGCTACAGATGAAATTGAGCCACATTTCTGAACCACACAGAATGGAGCCATGCTTCCCCCAACCAACACCCACAGTCTGTTTCCCATCCAGCTTGCATTTCCTATCCTATTCCTTTTGTACCTCAGGAGGACAGTTAGAGAGGCCTAGGTGACAAATGCAAGAAAGAACCATTTACATTATAGCCGGAGATCTCCGGTAGAGAGGCAGATTAGACCCTCCTATTATCCTTTTGAGAAATCTCTCTTCCTGTTTTTCCAGGATCAGTTCTTTGTTATCTGTCAGTGGTGTGTGTGCCTGTGGCAGGCGGGAGCCTGATTCTCCTGCTATGATTTTATATGATGTGTACTTTCTTCTCTTTACATGGAGTACAGTATTAATATTTCTAATGAAACCTCCCCTTCAAAAATCACTCTTTAAAACCTGTGAGCCGAATTTAAAACATCTTGCATAATTGTGCTACCATGCTGACTTAGCAAAAAGGAAGCCTCAAACTCAGGAATTGTGATCGATTGTTATTGGATGCATTATAAATCTATCAAACAGGTTTGTCAGTTCCTTCCTCAAGAATCTAATCCACAGAACCTGATTCCTACATATGTTAATGAGCAATCCAATAAAATTGAATGGTAACCATTATATAGTATTTAGGAAAAATTCATCATTATTAACCTGACCTCCAGAGGAAATATTGCTGTGAACACATTTTGCACCTTGTTAGAATTTCTCTGGGTTTGTAATGAGTGAGTCTGCTTTGGGCCAACATGCGTCCATGTCCCCAGGTTCAGCATAATGTGATTTTAAGTGGCCGCATCATTAACCTTTGAAAAATGGAAGAAGTCATGGAAAAATTAACAAAGAAAAACTGTGCCGTAGCAACTGCTGCTAGCAAAATCAGATCTCCTGCTGATAAATTAGGGGAAATTTTTTTCCAGTTTTGGTTGCAGAAGGAAAATGTATGGCTCCCACGATGATGTCTGTATTTCTCTGCTGATGAGTTTTTTCAGTTGTCCTTAAGCCCTGGTGGTTACTCTGCGTGGAGGGCGGTTCACCACTTGGCTCTCATCTTCCTCTCTTCTTGCAGGTGGTGCCTATGAAGTCAAACAGCATCGCTTCTTCCGTTCATTGGACTGGAACAGTTTGCTGAGACAGAAGGCAGAATTTATTCCCCAACTGGAATCTGAGGATGACACAAGTTATTTTGATAGTATGTGCATTATGTGACATAAGACATTGTTTGGCCTTTGTAAAATACCATCTCAACTTCTGAGGCTTCTTCCAATCTCACGCCCTACAAGTTCTTAAACAAAATGTTGCTTTGATGCAAAAACTTGTAATGAAAAATACCTAAATTAAAAGGTGATATTCTGAGTAGTTGTAACTGTTCTTAAACATTTCCCTGCAGCTCGGTCAGAGAAGTATCATCACATGGAAACTGAGGAAGAAGATGACACAAATGATGAAGACTTTAATGTGGAAATAAGGCAGTTTTCCTCATGTTCACATAGGTTTTCCAAAGTAAGTGGAGTGGGGCATGGGTGTAGAGTGTCTGGGACCACCTGCTTCTGGCCAGTCACTGTATCCTCAGCAGCTTGCCCCGATTGTAAAACTACCTCCTTTTGTGTGGTTTGAGTTTTCATGTGCTTCAAATGCCTTTTTGTTTAGGAAAAATGACCCCATCCTCTTGATTTGTTTTTGAGGCCTAAGGTACACACATAGTCCATCTCTCTGTGGTGGTGTTCATTTGAGGAACTTGCTTGTCCGGCCGTGTAGCTTAGGGCCAGGCTGTACAGCCCAATCCCCATTCTCTCCTCTTACAATGCAGAATGAGAGCTTCCTGTGTGCGGACCCCTCTCCGGGGTATACCCCATCACACTGAGTACAGCCCAAGGAGGAGGCTTGTTCCTTGACCTAAGCCGAGATACTGGGGACAGCTGACTGTGCAAGCAGAAACTCTTGTGACCATTACTAGAAATAAATTATATTTTAAAAGCAGTAGGAGGCCAAGCTAGACCTTTGGAAATGGTAGAAGATAATAAAAGTAATACTTAAAATGAATTTTACTGACCTTGGTAAGATTAAACAACCACCATCATTAAAAAAAGAAAATAGTTTTGAGACAAAGTAGGACCCTAGGAAAAGGCAGAAAGAAACCTAGAGGATATCTCCCACCTCCCATTTGCTACTTTCTGTTGCTACAGGTTTTCTGTTGCCATGGCATTTTACATGGTTATTGTTTAGCTTTTCTATAACACTTTGTGATGTTAAAGTGTTCTGTAGCTTTTTGTAGGCAATTACTTAGAATATACCTGGAAATTGGCCAATACTACCTCTCTGTTTAAAGGAAGGACACGGAGATAGGACAGGGCTGTAGCAGTTCTGTCAAAAGCTGTGCTAACATTAAATGGGTGCTACTGTTTTTTCCTTCTTCCCTTTTTCCTGGCTCTTGCTCTTTAGCCTGATCTTTCCTTCTGAATCCCAGTAGATTGTAGGAGCAGGGCGGGAGCATTCCTATGAGAGCAGCAAGCAGTTGAGTAGGGCAGAGGGCTATGTTCCCCACACTGGGCTCTCCGCATCTCATTTGACCTCCTGTCTTTGCTATGAGATGACATAGATTCCAAAATGGGGTTGCCCAAGTTGTGATCCCCTTCGGGAACCTCAGTACCAACACAGGAAGCTGCCTGACTGTGTAGGTAATTTGTATGCCAAATAAGTGTGCCTCTTTCCTATAACCAAGTATGTGCTACAGCCCGGCCTTCTCCCCGTAGACTTGCCTGCCTCCATTCAATTCTAGAAACATAATTTATTCTCCTCTTTGCACTCGATTTCATTTTTCTCCTTCCTACCCCTGACTAGTGGCCATTACACCCTTTTTTTCTCTGTTATTTTCTTTCTCTGATTGACTTCATGGTTAAAAAGTAATCTAAGATATGCATTGATCCCAAGGCCTAGAAACCCCAATGCATGTATGGATTTTTGTTGGCAGATGCAGAGTCCATAAGATATACCGAGTGAGCTCCCTGCTCCAAACACACATATACACACAATATGAGCCTTTATCTAGGGATACAAGTAAACATCAATGTTAGTATTTTCTGAATATGTGGTCCCAGTTCCAATTTTAGTCATACTCATTTTTGCTTCAAAGACTTAGCTTTTTTCCCAACAAGCTCTTCCTAGAAGATATTAATAAGTACTGATTATTTGCCTTGCAGGTTTTCAGCAGTATAGATCGAATAACTCAGAATTCAGGAGAAGAGAAAGATGACTCTGGAGACAAAACCAAAAGCACAACTTTACCATCCACAGAAACGTTAAGCTGGAGTTCAGAATATTCTGAAGTGTACGTGTGATGCCTTTTGAGTACTATCACAACAACAGCTATGGGGGCAATGGTTAAGCTGTAGGGAGCATCAGAATGGGGGGGGGTTGTGAAAACACAGGCCACTGGGACCACCCCCAGGGTCTGATCCCACAGTTCTGAGATGAGTCCTGAGGATGGGCCTTTGAATAAGTCTCCTGGTCACACTGATTCCGCCAACCTGGGTTCCACACCTTAAGAATCATTGTGTTAAAAGTGTTTTTGTTAGGTTTATCTGAGTCCCATTTTTACCTGGTTTCTTCTAAAATTTACCTATAACCCAGGTTCCAATGTGTATGCATGACTTTGTTTTTGTTTTCAATCAAGGCAACAGTTGTCGACATCCAACTCTTCAGATACTGAAAGCAACAGACATAAACTTGGTTCTGGGCTACTTCCCAAGCTGGCTGTCTCAATGGAGGGAGAGCACAATGAAGTAGTGCCCTGTCCTGGAGATGCCCACGAGGAACCTGCAAAGCCACCTCTTCCTCCTGAAGAATATGCTCAGGAAGAGCCCGAGGTCACCACCCCAGCCAGCACCATCAGCAGCTCCACCCTGTCAGGTAAGCCCTCACCGGCTGCCCTCATCTGCCACACTGACAAGTGGCTGTGAGTCTTTGATCCCAGAGCTAGCTGGCCAGGCAGCCAGGATGAGTGTTTGGTGCTCCATTCCCTGCCTCTTGGGACTGAGGGACAAGCTCCTGAAAACTCTGCCCAGCTGTCTCAGAGCTCTTCCTCAGTGCTAGGCCATATAGCCAACTCTGACCTTGGATCCAGCCTTCACATCCCCAGCCGGCTTCCTTGGGGCCTTCAGTGGCTACCTCGAGCTGCCAAGGGAGCATCTCTTGATGCAAAGGGAGTTTGCAACTGACTCAGAGTTCAGAGCCAGGGACAGTATCAGTCAAATCATAACAATTATCCTCATGCGTGTCTCAACTGACCTACAAAGGACAGTGTAAAGCCAGCTTCGCCTGGAGCCCTGAACTGGAGGGTGACTTATTTGAAAAAGGTTATGGGGTTACACTGTACGGAACAACTCTCTGCATACTAGACTCACACAGCACAGCAAGATGCCTGTGCTTCCGGGCTCACAGTTACCTCCCTCCCCTGCACCGAGGACTGAGGGAGGGCAAGGGAGTCAGAAAGATGAGCACAGCTTCAGCTGGCATCTCATGAGCATGTGGAGTAACTTCTGCAGACCAAAGGGCCTGTCCAGTCTGAGGGTCACTGGAGTAGGGGACCCTGAGGCATCTCCACCTGTATGAGACACTGGCTAGGACGTGGGCCTTTTCTCTGACAGCACTTTTGTCATGTTGCCTTTGTGTGAAGTAACCTTCCTGATGAAAGGAGTAGCATCTTCACAGGTGGTCAAAGTGCTTCCTGTTTCATCTCTACCTTGCTAGCCTTAATAATGGAGGTGGCGCAGGCCTGTAATCCCAGTGCTCAGGAGGCTGAGACTGGAGGATCATTGTGAGTGTGAGGCCAGCCTGGGCTACCTAGTGAGTGCAAGGCCAGCCTGAACTACATAGCAAGGCTTTGTCTCAAATCAAAAGCTAGAAACGTCCACCTTAGATGATCTAAATTGCACTTCAAACTAAGCTTAAGGGTTACTTTAAAATATCATTTGGTTTATAAAATTTTTCACACAGCATATTCTTCTACCAAGCAGTGTACATTTGTGCTTTTTCAAATAATGAAACATGGATATGGCATAGGATTGCTGTAATAAAATGCTTTCATTAAGCCATGTTTTGTTGATAACTATGATGATTCCAAGATTTTTTTCACCAATATTTTAAACTGAATAGTGTGTTTTTTTTAAAGCATTATGACAAAGTGAGGCTGATTTCAGCCTCACTAAAATGTTTAGATTTGTGCAGCAACAGATATGCTTATAACTGATTGTGATGAAAAATAATGCTGGGTTTTCTTTTCTCTCTTTTTGCCTCAGTTCTGTTTCCTCATTGGATAAGGAATGTCATTTATTCCAACTGTGAAGGCAAGAGGAGAGCAATGTACTAGTAGTGTAGAAGCCTTGTCTTCATCTGAGGTTGCTACCCAGTGTTAGCTCATCTGGGTGTTCAAATCAGTATACATCTTGGCGTTTTATATTCCTGGTTGCAGAGATCTCTGCCTAGTTCTTAGTTACCTTGCCCTCAGTAGAATACATTGACTTTCACTGAAAATGTTCTCTCAATATAGTCAATGGTTTACTGTCTGTATCTTGAACCTACACAGTATCAGAAAGGTAGGAGGTGAAGTGTCTGAATTCCTGATTGATTACTTTCATGATTTATAGAATCTGCCTGGGTCCTGCCATGCATTTTGATTAATAGACTCCAACCCCCTTCCTTTCTCTCCTCCTCTCTTCCTCCATCCACACACTAAAAATAATCAGAGATCTCAGGGGCTGTAGAGAATAGAGAGATGAGCTGATTTGCGTATAGCTGAGGGCAATTAGGGAACCTGAAAACCGTGACTGTAATAAAATTAAATTTGTTGATTTTTAAATCGCTCCACCATCAAAAAGAAGGAACCCTTGACATTTAGGAAACATTAAAATGACATTATCCATCACTGGCAGAAAAGCAACACACACTTGTTTGTGCTGCTGTGAATGAAACAGTGGCGGCAGGAGAGAGGAAGAAAGACTATAGATCCACACCAGCACTAGAAAAGTACAGCTTTATACTGGGTTGTCTTTTTTGATAACTGCATTGTACTTGAATCCCCTGAAAAGTCTTGAAATAGTAGATGTGGTATTCAAGTGCACCCAGCAATCACTCACTGTAAAGAGATTTAGCTTTTCATTTTATACTTAATCAGTGATCTCATCTGAACCCAACTAGACAGAGAAAGGAAGTGTGTAACTCACCCAAAGGGGTGCTGCTTTTGTGAGACAACTTTTTTTGACTTGTGAAGCAGTTTCGATCAAGGCCCTTGAGCAGCTGATTTTTTAAGGAAACGGGATAGATACATTGCAAAGTGATAATGTGTTTAGCATACATGGGTAAAAAGATTGTTATTTGTCTTCAGTTTGTCTGTATCCGTTGGCCAGACAAGTGTTGCAGTACTTGGAAGCCCATGAACATTTTCCTGGATATATAGCGCAGTAGGCGACCCTAACAGTGACAGATACCTTCCCACACCCAAACTCCCAAGTCCCAGAGTTCACTCAGCTTTAACTAGAGCCATGATGTCTATACCACCTCCATAAACCTGGGCCAACTGAAAGCTGCCCAGTACAATGGTGTGCATGGGTGTAACCAAAATGTTATGTCAAATTATGCAACTCTTTCCTGGGTAAAGAATGCAGTCTTTCAAAGGATTGTTTGTTTGTTCATTTGTTTGTTTGCTTTGTACTGGGGATCGAACTCGGGTCTTGTGCTTGCAAGGCAGGTTGTGGCACCACTGAGCTAAATCAAAGGATCATTCATAATAGTGTTACATACTCCGTGTGGATTGAGAGTTTTAAGGTGATATAGTGTTAATGATTTTTAAGCACAGGAGGCTTATTAGAATTTAGAAGTTATTTCTATCTCATAAATATACACTGTAAATATACAACTTGTTAGATGAGCATGGCCTCTTCCGGTAAACAAAACTGTATTATCAATGATTTTAAAAAGAGAATAGAAAACTGATAACCTAGGGAATAAAAAGTAGGAAAAACCTAGCAGACCACCACTCAGCTTGTTTCTCAGAGACTAAGCATGGTACTCTGCCTGAGAGCTTCCTCTCATGGCCATTACTCTATCATATCCATTGCTGTGCCCTCCTATATGTTTAGTCTCTTGAAAGAAGTCCAAGTGTCTTGATTTAAAAATAACTCCAGCTTACATTAAGGGTTAATAAAATAAAGAAATAAGGTATGGCTTAGAGGGGATGGGAGATAACCTCTGGGAAGACAGCTTTTGACACACTGTCTAGATTGAAAGCCAGGAAGATGAAGAGAGCTGAGTGATATGCTGTGTCTTGTTCTTTGACATTTGCAGGAGCTTAGAGCAAAGGTGACATCCCCAGTGACAGAAGGCAGGAGACACATTCTTGGCACACTTGTGTAAGTTACATGCCTGGGCCTAGGGGAAGTGTGCCCGAGAACGTGGTAGGAGGTAGCACAGCCATGAGCCTTCACAGTGGTGCCTAAGTTATTGGCAGCACTGAGAATCACCTGAGAGCAGTGAGAGCAAACCTTTCAGAGTTCTCAGTGATGACAGCCGGCTGCGGCACGCATGCCATAGCATCACAGTATGAAGAGTGTGGTCATGGTGCTCCTAAGGCAGGACTGGGTTTGTAGAAAAGCCTTCCACAGTGCGGGAACAGAGGAGGAGTGTCGTCTGTACATGAGTTTTGAAGTACAGATTGTAGAAACTAATTTATTCCTTAGTTCAATAGACTCATTGGTGGAGACCTTAGCAGACTTGTGTACAAGGAGAATGGAGCCTGCCTGAATGGACACCTCTTCCATCTCTCCTTCCTCCCTTTCTGCAAGCCAGTCGTGTGTTTTCCACGTCGACCTAACACCAAATGGACTTGAGAGCCACGTGGGAGCACATTTCCCTCATTTGACCTTCTTCTCGCTTCCTCTATCCAGCTCTGCTTTCCTGGGTTTTCCTGAATGTGTTTATCCCTTCTTCTTTGTACAGTTGGCAGTTTCTCAGAGCACTTGGATCAGATAAATGGACGAAGCGAGTGTGTGGGCAGTACAGATAATTCCTCCAAGCCATCCAGTGATCCCGCTTCTCACATGGCTCGGCAGCGATTAGGAACCACAGAAAAAAAGAAAATCTCGGGGAAAGTCACAAAGTCCCTTTCTGCCAGTGCTCTGTCCCTCATGATCCCAGGAGGTAGAGAGACATCTACTCGCATGACATTGTGTGATGTGTGCATGTGGCCCCCGCTGCTCTCCCCCAGTGTGGAATATTGATCGCCATGCAGGACTACTGGGAACAGTCAGGTGTCCTGGGACAGCTCCCGGAGCGTCTGCCTGCAGGACCTCTGGGACTCCTAAAGAACATGTGTGCTCTAGTCCATCTCTCTGCATCGGGGAATGAGAGAGGCTTCCTCCCCACAAAGCCTTATTTCTTTTGTTGTCTTTTCTTTTCTCCCCGCATGATAAATGATATATTTCCTTCCCTGGAATAATTTTTCTTCTCTAGACCATGTATCATTTATGTACTTTACAGAGCTGTTTATAGCGTCTGTGTTGGAAAGCCAAGCGTAGTTTTTCTTATCTAATTAATGAGGAAATAGACACAGAGAACATAAGCTTTTCATTTCTGGAGATTAAGAAAATCACACACAGCCTTTAAAAACCCTGTCATTTGAACTGTGTTTCCTGCTATCCATAGCCAAATCATTCTCCACCCTGTTTTGAAAAACTGGGTGTAATTATGGTTTTCTTGGATTGACATATTTTTCCTCAACCTCGTTTTGCTAATCAGGGGCTGATCACTAAGTGTGTAGCAGTCCCATTGACAGAGATGAACTGTACACCTTGGTGATATCATTTTAATGACAGTGAGAGAGTGGAAGTGGCAACTGAATTATGTTACAGATGGTTTGTCTTTAGAAGAACACAGACCATGTACAAAAGAGATTGTTTACATTTTAAAATTTCTTGTGTAGAAAGAAATTTCATATAAACAGATGCTCATTTGGGTACAGGGCTCACTCTAGCAATTCTGCTTTGGGGAGGCATTCCCTTGGGCACACAGCAGACATCCTATCCTGCGTGATTCCTCAGCACCCAGAGGTGTGTCTCCTGCACAGCTGAACAACAGGGAAGCTAAGAGTGGTATGGTCCAGTCCCCTTCAGAAAGCCGGTGAGACAGCCCAGATTTCAGTAAAGCAGGGAAGTAATGACGTGCACGGATACCCAGAAAATCATGATGAGGCAGAGGACTGTGCTCCTGGCTTTTCAGTTTGATCTGTGCCTGCTCTGTCTTCCTCCCTGGCCTGCTGTGAAGTTCTCTGCCCTCAAGTGTGCCTCTCTTCACCTGGGCTTTGGATTAGAGAACAGCAGGGCACCCCATGAGGTCACGGGAGCATGAGGGTAAAGACACACTTTGCTTTGCTCTTCTTTGCCCAGCATAAGACTCTGTCAGCTTCCCATGGTCACAGTGGGGCTCGCCCTACACCAGAGAGTGTCCTATAGCACCGAGCACCCTGTGGCCAACTGAGCTCGCAATTAAAACTCAGCATCCTCTGTAGATTATTTTGTCTCCTCTCTTTCTCACACACGCGAACACATACACATAGACAATTGACAAAGGACCAGTTAAGATTCACAGATAGAACAGTCATACAAAGTACAATCTAAAAGTTTGTGACTCAGTCTGCTCGGGCTGTTACAAAAAAATATCTTAGGACTGGGTCCTTTATAAACAACAGTATTTATTCTTCACGGCTCTGGTACCCCAAATAAAAATACCAATAGAGTTGCTGTCTAGTGACGACTGGAACCTCTGCTATATTCCCACAGGTGGGGGTTAAGTGGGCTCCCTCAGGCCTCTTTCTAAGGGCACTCAGCCCATTTATGAGAGGCTAACCATCTCCCAAGGGTCCCACCTCTCAGTACCATCATCTCCTTGGGGGTTAGATTTCAGTACACAATATTCAGAGGGACATAAACATTGAGAACACTGCAGTTTGCTTATAGAACAGTAAAATTGGTCTCCTGGAATATGAACTGAGTTGTGCTTAAATTTTTTCAATCTTACCTGCTTTATCCTAGAAACAATGCTGGATCTGCAGGTAATATGTAAAGACCATCAGTTAGTTATAACTCTAATAACGAGTCATCTTTTATGGAGATGTTACCACATTCATGTTGCCTGGATTAAAATTTGTTAATATGACTCCAACAAAATTGCAGAAAGCCTGTGGTAAATTCACCATTGCTTTCTTAGTCATGTGCTAGGAAAAGACTGTGTTAAGTTGATTTAGTGTAAGATTTGGAATCCAGAATCTTTCACTATAGTATATACTGTCTTCTGCATATCAGAAGATGCTTTAAATACTTGCATTTATGCAGTAATTTCTTTATTAGATAAAATATCACAGCCAGAAAAGAGTTATTAGTCTGTTTGTTTTCATTAGTGTAATAGACTAAGAAACCATAACTATATAATATTCATTGACAAATTAGTTGCAATAGAAATACTTCTGATATTTTCTTGACAGGCTTCAGTTTTTCCATGTATACCTTTTCTTGCATTATGTCTTCTTTATTTTGCATTTGAAACAAGTGAGTTAGTTTTGTGGCTGTGCCAATCCTGTCCCCATCCTGGCAGGGCTGGCATGGTGAGGGTTAGCTGCAGGGACATTTGTAAGGCCAGGATTGGCTTTGACAGCTGGCTTCTCTGTTACAGATATGTTTGCTGTTTCTCCCCTGGGAAGCCCAATGTCTCCCCACTCCCTGTCCTCGGACCCTTCTTCTTCAAGAGACTCCTCGCCCAGCCGAGATTCCTCCGCAGCCTCTGCCAGTCCCCATCAGCCCATAGTGATCCACAGTTCCGGGAAGAACTACGGCTTCACCATCCGTGCCATTCGGGTGTATGTGGGGGACAGTGACATCTACACCGTGCACCACATAGTTTGGGTGAGACCAACAATCTCATGCTCCTTAGTCCTCATTTTCAACCACATTGCATGAGTTGACTGAAGCACAGTTAATAGCAAACTTCTTTTATGTTAAACTCACATTTGGGACCACTTTCACTTTCCTTTTAGTGCTCCCTCTCTTCATCTATGTGGTGGCATTGGATTTAACAAAAACTAATTATTTCTCCCAGCTCTGACTAGTTTTTCTATTTACTTGTCTATTCTTATACACCAAGATGGTAGACAAATAGTCAAAGACTATCCTATTTCCATATTTCATTACTTTCATTTTCTTTCCTGGCCTTGTTTTACAAAAGTTATATTCTCGAGTCACACCAAACATGGAAAGAAAACGTGGGAATTACTCTCTTTAATGGAAAAATAAAAGTAGGAATGTTGCCTTTTTGATTTCCCATGAGGAGCCTAGGATCATTTGCAAATTGGCTCAGAACATGCTACCAGAAGAACAGCACAAGTTAGAGTTGTCACTTATTTACAAATATATACTCCCCCCTTGGACTTTAGAATGTAGAAGAAGGAAGTCCAGCGTACCAGGCCGGACTGAAGGCTGGGGATCTGATCACACACATCAACGGAGAGCCAGTGCATGGACTCGTCCACACAGAAGTCATAGAGCTCCTGCTAAAGGTATTTTCTTCTTTGTACCATAGCCATGGGAGGAAGTGGATGCCCCAAAGGAACTAGCATCAAGAGATCAGTATCTCTATGACCTACCCCTGTAGTCAGTCTTATTACCGGTAAGGTACTCAGTAAACTGAAATTTAATGTCAAAACAAAACTGCTATGAACTCTCTGGTTTTATATTGTGAAAGAATGCCCTTCTGTCTGTCTGCACACTCACTCTAATTTTGCTTTTCATTCTAAATTATACATAATAATAATTCTTTTTGTTTGTTCACTTCATCTGTTGAGAAATCGCCTATCCTGAGGGTGGTTTTCTTTAGGACAGGTTTATTCTACTGCAGTAGCAGGTAAAATTGTATTGTGAGGTCAGAGGTAAAGGTTTAGTTTTGCTTTTTTTTGGGGACACCAGGGATAGAACTCAGGACCTTGCAATTGTGAGGCAGGTGGCAGAATGACTGAGCTAAATCCTTGGCCCCTAGAGCTAAAGGTTTAGTCTGAGAGTTGGCATTCCCTTGAAAGATAAAACTGTAACTATGTACACACATGCTATAGATGATAAAAAGCGATAGTGGATAAAAGGGTCCTGGCAGTGATTAGTCTTCCCTGCCTCCTCATACAAATATTTAAGTTAATTTACATGGGGATAGATTTTGGTGTGAATGGTAAACTGAGGGGAGCTGTGAATTAAGAGCACAGGAAGCACAAATAAAGAGAGAATGTGTACACTCATCTTCCAAGCAATTCTGTGCAGTTATTTTCTCTGATACCCATTGACTCTAGAATATAGCTATAGATCTAAATAGATGGATTCTAGTTTGAGTTTAAATTTTCTTAGGAAAAAATAGCTGATTTTGATGAGAAACGTAATCCCTATTTGCAGGATTACTTTATAAGTCCTCAGGTTTACAAATGACCTCTTGCTTCCTAACATTGTGTTCAGACCCTGTCAAGAGTGACCTGAAAGAAAGATCTGAGCTTCGATACATATAAGTATAAATTCATATGCATATTTTAATTAATGGCATTCAGACTGACTTTATGTTGGTAGATGGTGGATAACACAGGAACTAAAGGATGGTCTCTGCCTTTAAAAAGTATGAGAGATGTATATGAGAAAAGAAATCACAGCTTCATTAGCTGGGCTCTAGCAGAAGGAGGAATGTCCTACTCTTGGAGAGAAGATTCTGAGTGTAGAGAGGCATCCCAGGAAAGCGACATTGAGGTAGAATTTGAAAGAAAATGAGAAATTTGGAAGGCATTACAAGGAAGTGGGTACTCAAATCTTTCAAAACCAAATGAAATTAAACGTCTCTTCTCCCTTGTCTATAATTCTCCCAGCTCACTTGAGTGTATTCTTCTAAAGATTTGGAGTCTGGCTTATATCCACCACTAGTAGTAGTGTATATATCCTATTGTCCAGTGTGAGGTAGTAGACAGGAATTAATTGCTGTTGAATAATTCACGCTATTAATGAGACTTTGGTCTTAGGCTCAGAGCCCATGGGGACTTGTGGCTTAATGAATTTGTGGAATTAAAATGAACTATAGTTCTTGATTGCTGTCTGAAAGTTACCATGGAAGGAGAGGGACCACATGGCTACTTTTTTGTTTGTTTTGTTTTGTTTTGTTTTTGGTAATGGGAATCAAACTCAGGTCCTTGCACTTGTGAGGCAGGCGGCAGAACTACTAAGCTAAATCCCAGGCCCCACATGGCTACTTTTATTGCGTCCTTATTCATGTCTTGTTGCACAGACCACTCAGTTTGGTAGCAGAAGCCTGGAAGTGAACCTACACTTCTGCTATAGGGTACTGAGCCAAAACAAAGGCTACTACTTCTGGCCTCTGCCTGGAGAATATCTGAGGTTTTTCATTACCTATCTCTAATAATGCTCTTTCTCCAACTGGAACGAAGCAACACTTGGTTAGTGTCTAGAAATGAGAGGCAGAGCAGGATTGCTGACTTGGAGATTCCTTTGCTGTGAGAATCAGCTGAAAGGACTTTAGGTTTCCAAGACAAAAGTCAAGAAAGAGCACAATGATTCAGTCACTAGATGCTTCACCATGAACAGTACTTGTTCCTGTGGTCTCTGTCTTCCATCACTAGCTCACAAAGCTACCCTGCATGGATGAGAGCCCAGAAAAGTTGGTGGTTTCTTCCTTTTTCTCTTACATAAGCCTTTCTGGTTGAGACAACCAGGAGAGGCAGACAAAGGAGCTTATTGTTTCCCAGTGCCCTGTGGGCTTACCTAGGAACCCACCTTGACCCTTGATTTTGAAGGATGGGTCTGTTTTGTAGGTGGGTTTAGCGTGTCATTCATCCTACTGAAGATTTTCTAAAGCTTTCCATCCCTGATTTTAAGAAGGCTAAGAGATTATAAATGGTCATAGATGTCTTGCCTTCTACATTCTTCATAATAGTATTATCTTTTGTGCAGAGTAGCTTTTGTTACAGCATATCTGTATATCACACATCCCATGAAATCAAAAGAAAAAAATAAACAAATATGTGTCTGTACGTATAGAGAGGCGTGTATACATTTATTTTGCTGAAACATAATCGATCATTTACATGATTTATTGCGTACCTTAATATGATTTCATATTTTAAAAGCTCTCCACTGGCTTCTCTAAAATTTGAATGTATATTTTCTCTAAGGCTTTCTGGCAGGGTCTCTTAGCAGAGTCAAATGGACCCTGTGGATAACCACCTTCCACAACCGCAAGTCTTCAGTCTTGGATCCTGTCACACAGTACGTGGCACTGACGTTGCTTAAACATAATGAGGTGGCACACATCAGCACCCTGTGAGGCCATAGTATGCTCTGCCACACATCCAAGCAGGGGCTTCTGCCTCTGGTTCATAAAGGAAGCACTTGACGGGAGAAACTAGTGTAATGAAACAAAGAGGATACGAGGGATTTAATTATCTTCCCAGTGAACTGTGTAATCGTGCAGCTTCCTTCCAAATTTAACTAGTGATTCTGTAGCCAGGGGTATAAAGTGACTGACTAGTACCAGCAGTGGACTTCTAGGTGCCATTGCTTAGTGATAGCTCTAGTTTGGTATTCTTGACAGGTGTTTCCACAATGCTTTTAACAAGGTCTCATGGCATCCTTGGGAAAGAGTGGAAGAATCATTGCATAGGTCTGTATGTGTGTTGAAATATATGTATAATGTTTATCTATTAGATTAGGAACACAGTAAGCATTTCTATCTCACAGCTTCATACTTGGTCTCATTTACCCTCACAATTCAAAGTGGACCTGCAGTGGAAGCTCCAGCTTCCATGTTTGGGAAACCTGCCCACAGTCACTTGGCATCTCAACCCATGGAATTATCGACCGACGTGGCTTCTACTTCTATTCCCCATTGGTAGTGCAAGTCCCCTCAAGCTTTCCTGCTGCAAGGAGTTAACCATTTTTGTCAACAGGCTGAAATCATTCTTCACCTCCTGCAGTCACCGCACTGACCGGGTCCTGTCCCCTGTCATGAGATAACCTGCCGGGCTCAACTTCTAAAATCCAAGAAACTTGCAACTCAGCAAAGTTACTTTCTTAGTGTGGCATTATTTATTTTAAGCGAAGCCCTTAGAACAGCTCCGGTGCTTTAGAAATTTCCTTTCCATGAACTCTGGGGAGCTTCTAGAATCTGACATGGAGACCACCACGTAGCATCTTTCCCATCCTCACAGATTTGTTCAGCCTCTAATGTATGCAGAGGTTTCTGTGAAGTGCTACAAGGGCCACACTAAAACAATAGGTAATGGAGTGAGGATACTTGCCGCCTGCCTAGCTCTGTTGTGTTTTACACAAATAAACTCATACAACCCCTCACAGTTACCCCATGAGGGAGATGCTGTAAATATAAATGTCCCTGCTTCACAGAAGGAAAAAACCAGAGCAGAGAGAAGTTAATAGAGAGGCCAAACTTGCTTGCTGCAAGGAGCAAAAGATGATTTGCAGCCAGGCAAAGTAGCTCAGAAGCCTGTACTTTTATATCCTACCATGTACTGCTCCACACAACATCTCTGCCAATACCACATAGTCTGTTGTATCCACAGGGGGAACTACGGCAATGCTGGGCCATAATCAAAGTGTTAAACATAGGGAACAAAGTTTGACATGGCACAGTTCTGGAGAGATGGCTTTTCACCAGGATGCTCAGGAAAGCTTCAGACAATTGGGAGTTACTGGTTCAGGAGTTTGAAAGATGGATGGAGATTCTCAGGGGCCACAGGGTAGTCTAGGCAACACAAACAAGTGTGCAAACACCAAGGCAGGAGATACCAAGATGAGTTATACAATGAGCAGCAAGTTGGAGCCTTGGTTCATGGAAGGATCAGGGGTCAGATAGGCTGGGGTGAAGGGTACGAGGCACAGCAAGGAGCAGAGATGTAGAAGAGCCCATCCCATCTATTCTTTGCAGGGAAAGGAAAATAAAAAGGGTGGAACTCAGTGAGTTACCCATGGCCAAATGGTAAGCTAACAGAGCCAAACAGAAGTGGGCACCCTGACTTCTGCTTTTGTATTCAGTTCAGCCAGCTTAAAATAATTGCCCTCCCACTGTGTCCTAATCATGAAAAGAGTTTCAAGTAAAAGTGACTTAATTGAACATTTAACAGTCTGCTAGCTATGTCTCTGTTGTATTTTTTAACAAGTGCTGCAGAATTCTCTAAGAGATCACTCATTCTTCAAGAGAAATTAACTTAGGCTGAGCTGACTTGCTATGTGGAGCAAATTCAGGCAGCACTTGCTGTGGCTGAGTGAATCCACCAGGTGGCAGGCTTCAGAAATGACACCTAGCATTTTTCAATGAATGCGTCCAATTTAAAATTCTCATTCAGCCGGGGATTTAGCTCAGTGGTTCTGCTGCCTGCTTCAGAAGTGCAAGGACCTGAGTTCATTCCCTGGTACCAAAAAAAAAAAAAAAAAAAAAAAAAAATGTAAAATTCTCATTCCAAGACCAGACATGGTGGTGCACGCCTGTAATCCCAGCACTTGGGAAGCTGAGGCAGGAGGATCACTGTGAGTTTGAGACCAGCCTGGGCTACATAATGAGTTCCAGGTCAGTCTCAACTACATAGTGAGACCCTGTCTCAAAAAAAAAAAAAAAAAATCCAACTAAAATTCGCATTCCACATCCTTTGTATATTCTCAGTTGTGTATGTGCACAAAATAAATGAGTTGTTCTCTGAAAGAGACATGCAGAAGCCAAGAGAAAGCTGAGTTTGGTTTTTATAGGGTAGGGGACATTTTTACAGAGCGTAGTGATATGCTCTCTTTTAGCAAGCCCTGCTCTTCACTCTTCTTTTCTTTTCTTTTTTTTTTTTTTTTTTTTTTTTTGGTGCCAGAGATTGAATTCAGGACCTTGTGCTTGTGAGGCAAGCGGTGGAACCACTGAGCTAAATCCCCGGCCTCACTTCACTGTTTTCAAATGGGAAATGGTCAGGATCTGTATTCAGTGTACTTATACAATTATATGTTTCTATATCTTCATTGACCATGCCATACATGAGTCAAGTGCCTGGTTTGCTCACAACTACTGGTATCGAACCAAGCATGCACTGGGTCAGGCACAAGAGAGGTGCAGGGAGCAAGGGCACATCCTGCCCATGCAGAGCACAGTGGGGAAGTAGGAGCCCTGGTGTGAGGGACAGAAGAATCCCAAGGCCCTGGAGTCTGTTGTCCTTATCTTGTAACATAAGGATAACAGTTCCTGGGGGTGTGAAACAACTCTGATGATTTGGTCATGAAGAAAATAAAGACATAACATATGTAAATGTTTTAAAAACCAAAATTTGCCTTTACAAATGTCAGGTGGAATTTTTAGCTTCTTTGAGATAAACATACAAAAGTCTATGCTGAATTCCATAGAAATGAGGAGGACTCGATTCAGGCCAAAGCAACCCCAGCATGAGAGCAACTTCCATGATGATCATGTGCTCTGTGCGTCCGCTCAGCACAGGGATGTGTGGATAAAGCCTTAGTGAAAAATGAACTTCAACCCTATTTGTGGCCCTTTTCCTTCATCATGGGGAAATTATAATTTAACCATAGACTTTCTCAGTTTGTATAGAGAAGATCCAATCTAACAAAACCTTCTCTGGTAGGCCTTACATACTTATTAGTCAATACTATGGCTTTCCATTTAAAGAATATACAATGCCAGTCTCTGCTATCATGTAAAGGCTTACTTTTAAAGTTTTGGCATTTGTATATAGAATGCATAACTTATCCTTTCAGAATAAAGGGGAAAAAATCTACTCTTATTGAAGTCCAAACCCCATTTCCCTAAAATATATTCTACAAATAGGACATAGATATGAGAGTATAAATGTATAAAGAACTACAAAACCATTAACAAAACCCTAAGACTCTTTAGTTCTAAGCTGGAAGTAGGGCGTGAACAAATGATTCTCCAGAGAAATACAAACAATTAAAATAAGAGAACATCAACTCATAAGAACTGAAAAGTAGAAAATTATAGCAGTGGGAAATAGTTAAATGAATCTTGATTCAGCCAAATGATAGAATGTATTATGCAGCCAATAAAAAGTGTGTTCTTAAAGAGCAATGCTGACTCAAAGTTTTAAAGATTATATAATAGGGAGTGGAAAACAGAAGACTATATAATAAGGTTAAAATTGTTACAGAGTATGTCTATATACACGTGTATTTATGGAAGCCCAAAGAAAGGTCAGCAGGGGTTGGGTTACAGCTCAGTGGCACAGCACTCACCTAAGCATGTTTGAGGCCCTGAGTTGGGGATGTGTGGGGGAAGACAGCCAGAAATTTATTAAAATATATTACCAGTGGTAGCTGGGTGATAGGCTTCTCAATGATTTTGTTACTTGTACTTTACAGATTTTCTGTTATAATAGCATGGAATACTTTCCAAATTGTGTGGGAGGAATAATTAAAACAGTCGTTCCCTCTTTTTTTAATCCCCTGTTCTCAACACACTTAACCTCTTATCGCTTGGTAGCACTTTAGAGCTGAGCAGCTGGGTGTCTTCCAGACACAGCCCTTTTAGAGAGGCCTTAAAAAGTTTGTGACTGTGTTTTCAAGGTAATCCGCCATCTCTGACTTTGAAAAGGTATGTTTCTCCCCTGGCTATTAGGAAACTAGGGAACAGGTCAATGATGCCCACCTGCCCCTGTAGCCCTCGGCCTGGCTGCTGCCTGCAAGCTCAGCTCCATCCCTAGGGCTTACCCAGCAAGCCCCTGTCCCAAGATTCAGTGAAAGGACACAGAAATCCACCAGGAAGGGTTGCAGTTGGCTGGCACATTATTTTCTAGCTCTGCATGCTAACAGGATTTATGGCACTAGAACAAGAACCATTTAAAATAATTAAAACTAAAAGTTTCATTCAGTTCTGTTGCTCTGTGATTTCTAGGTCAAAAGAAAGCATGAAAAGGAAAGGGGAAAAAAGAAAAATGCATCAACCAAGAGCAGACGGCCACTGGGCACATTTATACTTAATACATATGGATGAAGATATCTTATTTATAGAGTCCTTTCCATGTGTCACAGTCAATGCTGAAGGCTTTACAAAGTTTTTCTAATTTACTCCGTGGATGAGCCCTAGGACAGTGACGGTGAACCCTTTAGAGCTTTCAAGGAATAACAAACAACCCAACAGGCTGTGGCACTGGTCCCATGGGTTCACCACCACTGCAGAGACAGGCAGTATTACACCATTAGCTAGTGCAGTATATATGATTCAGCGGAGGCCTTGGGTGGGCTAGCACCCTACCCTCTGAGGTCATGAGGTCACCTAGAGAGGATCTGAACTAGTGTGGAGAGCTGGATTCTGGTCCCTGCCCTCCAAAACACTTCCTACTTTGCCTTTTGCCCCATTTGAATTGTCAGCACCTCACTGATGGGTTATTTCGAAATAGGAAGCCCTGTTTGTGAATGCCCCTATTGTATTTATATTTGAATCTCTCATCTCTGATCTTGCTTCATCAGAGCATTTCCCTTTAATATCACTTCATCTTTTTTATAGAGTGGAAATAAGGTGTCAATCACCACCACCCCATTTGAAAACACATCAATCAAAACAGGACCAGCCAGGAGAAACAGCTATAAGAGCCGAATGGTGAGACGGAGCAAGAAGTCCAAGAAAAAGGAAAGTCTAGAAAGGTCGGTAAATCAGTCTTCTCCTCGAGTTTGGTATAGACCCACAAAGTTAGTCCTTACTTAAATGTTTACTTAAATACGAGAAAGATCTATTACTCTGAAAAATTTTTTCTCACAGCTCACATATATTTATATGTTAAGAGTCATTCATAATAGCATTCTTTTTTACAGCAAAAGGAGGTGCATATTTCCACTGTGGAAGGATTCTGATTGCTCTATCATGTGTGACTAGGACAAGAAGCCCTTTGTTGTTTCCTGAGGTTTTCGACTTTATTTCATTACAGTTGGATTTGAGGAACTGGACCATCAGGGAATTTTTCACATTAAATCTACATTTAGTTTCCTCTACATTTTCTAAAAACAGTTGTTTTTAAAAATGTGAGATATTCCAAAATAACTGCATCTTTAAAGCTTCCAAAATAAGTCTGCATATAAAAGGGCTTTGTCTAAAGGACAGAGATGTAATGAGGGGACACAGTTTGGCAGCCAGGAAGCACTGATGAATATTTCTTTGTGCTTTGTGTAGACCAAATCAGGGCTGTGCTCCAGGAAGTCCAGGCCACAGCTCCTGTGTGCTGCCCACCCTTCCCCAACACTCAGGTGGACCTGACAAGTTTGCGTTAGTGCAAGTCCTTCTGAAAATGGAGAAAAATAAGCAGATGAAAAACCGATTTTTTCTTCCTGTACTGGGGATCAAACTCAGGATCTTGTGCTTGCCAGCCAGGCATGGTGCCACTGAGCTACTTCCCAGCCCCGTGAATCTTTTTTTTTTTTTTTTTTAAACCAAAGTTGTTTGGTTTAGTTGTATGGAAGGAATAGAAATGGAGCAATGTATTTGGTCTTCAGTAGATGAGGATTGTATGAGAGTTTCATTCTCATTCTCCATAGTAGGAAATCAGATAATTGGTACAACTAGAAAAAATTTTTAAACAGCTGCATTGGCACATTATTGAGCAGTATACAGACAAAAGGAAGAAAAGGGTAAAAAAAAGTAGAAGGTGGTTTCTTCGGGTAGTGGAGGCGTTACTGCTCCAGTCTAAGTTTGTGAAACTACTCCACATGCATCTAGTACCTCCAATCGGATTATAAACACAAACCCTATTCTTTTTGGTTGTGCTTAGTATTTAGAGAATCACTTCTTGCCAGGGGTAGCAGTATTGCGACTTCCTGTTTCCACTTGCTGGCAATGGATTGGACCTTTGTGATGGCGAAAGGGCTCCACACAGCCACATGCGTTGACCAGCCACGGGCAGCGGTACACTGTGTGTTAGGACCTACTCGTGAAAGCACTACATGCGCATTTGTGTCTGCTGCCTACTGACTGGAAGTCTCTGCTTCACTTTGCCTGGTGTTTTCTATGTACCTATACCACCTACATTCAAGAGCCCACAATGGAATAAGCATGCCAATCAGCCCTTCATGCAGAAAGCCTTGCCTGGTGTCTCACCATTGAAAAATTCTCTGTATAGCCAAGATAATGGTTTCTCTCCAGAGATTTGTTTTGTATTATCTCAATTAAATCATGTCCACATAGACAGGATATGTCTTTGCTTTGGTACCAGGGATCGAACTCGGGTCCGTGCACTTGCCAGGCAGGTGGCAGCACCACTGAGCTAGATCTCTGGCCTGACAGGGTATGTCTTTGTGTATGTCTTCTTTCACACAAAGAAGGCCCTCCTTATAAACCTCCTTATAAACCTCCTCCTCCTGAATATATTTGTCCTATTTCCCCACCTCTTCCTGAGTGTTGCAGTTAAGAACCTTTATGGCATATTGTCACAAGACTATTCCTTTATAGGTCACGAGAAAGTATTTAAAAGTGGTATCTCACACTTCGAGGTCTGCTGTAGGTCACTAAATTGCTAAACTGAATATGCTGGTATTGTGGGAAGACAGGAGTAGTTGGAAAAAGTCATCAGTTTTTTTCTTGTCCCTACTTTAGGAGGAGATCGCTCTTCAAAAAGCTAGCCAAGCAGCCATCTCCTTTACTGCACACCAGCCGGAGTTTCTCTTGCTTGAATCGATCCCTGTCATCGGGAGAGAGCCTTCCCGGTTCCCCCACTCACAGCTTGTCTCCCCGATCTCCCACACCCAGCTATCGCTCCACCCCTGACTTCCCATCTGGTGAGTCTCCTGGTCTGGTCTAGACAGCAAGAGAGTTGACAGGAGCTAAAGTCATCATGTGTACTGAAAAGCATAGAGGTTGTATCAGCCTGAGGAAAGCAGATAGAGGTAGAAAATGATGGGATTCAGCGGGAGGCCAGAGACAGAGGTTTCCATAGAGACAGAGCTGTTCTGACAAGTAGTAGGACCTAAACCTGGTTTGGTGAGGTTTATCTGTGAAGGGTTTATTTCATTAGCACAATGCTGAGATATGGTGCTACCTTTACCTGGCCTTACCTCAAATGGTCTGGGTTGGAATTGTTGGCAGGAAAAGGAAGGTGTTGCTGGATGCTTACAAGCGCTGTTTTTCTTCCACAGGTACCAATTCCTCCCAGAGCAGCTCCCCAAGTTCTAGTGCCCCCAATTCCCCAGCGGGATCAGGACACATCCGGCCCAGCACACTCCATGGCCTGGCCCCCAAACTCGGTGGGCAGCGATACCGCTCTGGAAGGCGCAAGTCAGCCGGTAGCATCCCACTGTCCCCACTAGCCCGGACACCTTCTCCAACCCCCCAGCCCACCTCCCCACAGCGCTCACCTTCCCCACTGTTGGGACACTCACTGGGCAATGCCAAAATCTCTCAAGCCTTTCCCAGCAAGATGCACTCCCCTCCCACCATTGTCAGACACATCGTGAGGCCCAAGAGCGCTGAACCCCCGCGATCCCCACTGCTCAAGCGGGTACAGTCTGAGGAAAAGCTGTCACCTTCCTATGCCAGTGACAAGAAGCACCTGTGCTCCCGCAAGCACAGCCTGGAGGTGACCCAAGAGGAGGTGCAGCGGGAGCAGTCCCAGCGGGAGGCAACACTACAGAGCCTGGAGGAGAATGTTTGTGATGCGCCGTCCCTCAGCCGTGCCCGGCCTGTGGAGCAAGGCTGCCTGAAACGCCCAGTCTCCCGGAAACTGGGCCGGCAGGAGTCTGTGGAGGACTTGGACCGGGACAAACTGAAGGCCAAGGTGGCGGTGAAGAAACCAGATGGCCTCCCAGAGAAACAGGAATCCCACCAGAAACCCCACAGCCATAATGAGGCAGAAACCCACTCCCTCTTTAGGCTAGAAGAGAGGGAGAAGAAAGTCCACCCCAAGGCTTTGGAAAGGTCGAGTCATTTTGAGAACAAGGCAGCAGAGGCCCAGTCTCTGGGCAGCCTGCTGAAGGATGCCCTCCACAAGCAGGCCAGTGTGCGGGTCAGTGAGGGTGCGATCCCGGACGGGGCAGTGGCCAGCTGTGGCCCAGCACCTGTGGAGCACAGCGCACGCACAGGTGACTTCAAACGGGCCGCTGCCCCTGGCACCCTCCAGGACAGTCTGTGTCACTCCCCTGAAAGATGCACTTCTGGGAAGGGAGAGAACTCGGAGAAGGCCTCCCAGGTCAAGGACTTCCTCCGAAGCGAGAAGCTGGACAGCAAGCTGGACAATATTGATTACCTCCGAAAGAAAATGTCACTTGAAGACAAAGATGTGAAGCCCAAGATGACATCTGGCCCCCACGAATGCCTGCCAGGGAATGCAGGACGGCCCATGAGCGGGCAGCAGGAGGCCGCACCAGCCTCCGAGAGCCGCGTGTACATCAGTGGCATGCATGCAGCTCAGATGAGCGCAGTCCCCTTCATTCCCCTCAAGGCCTTAGCGGGCCGGGTGGACAGTGGCGCAGAAAAGCCGGGCTTGGCTGTCCCTGAGTCCCCTGTCAGAAAGAGCCCCTCTGAGTATAAACTGGAGGGCAGGTCGGTTTCCTGCCTGAAGCCAATTGAGGGCACACTGGACATTGCTCTCCTGTCTGGACCTCACACCGCTAAGACAGAGCTGCCTTCACCAGAGACTGCACAGAGCCCCAGCCCTGGTGGGGACATAGCACCCTCTGTGCCTCCGACACTCCCTGGCACTGGTGGAAAAAAGGGTGAAACTGCCAGCCTCAGAGAGCCTTCCCCTGCCAATTTAAAGATGAGTAAATCCCACTTGCTCGAGCCACGGTTCCTGCCCCCAAGCCGAGGTTTCCAGAACTCACCAGCAGCTTCCCTGCCTGACCCAGAGTTAAAGCAGGATAGGAAAGTTTTCCAACCTGCTGTCAGGGGCCCAGGAACAGTTATAGAGAGTGATCCCCAGCAGAGAGAAGACAGCCCCACCAAACACCAAGACCGTTCCATGGGCCCCAAGGTCTTCCCCAGCCCTGGGAAGACCCTGCACAACATTGACAGCACCAGCCCACAGGTCCTGATTCCACCTGACAGGGCTCCCTCGAGAGAGAAACCAAGCCTGAAGGAACTGTCCGAAAAGGGCCCTCCCACAACCAGAGCCGAGTGGCCTGCCACAAGGGCTGACATGCACCGAGACTGCTCTGTGCAGCTGTGTCCCCAAGAGACTGCCAAAGCCAGTGACAGTTCCCAAAATCTCTATTCTGTGGGAAGGACCCACCCAGATTTCTACACGCAGACCCAGGCTGTGGAAAAAGCAAGGCCACCTTGTGGGAAAACAAACCACAGAGATGGCCGAGAGGAGACAAGGCCCCTAGCCAGGGATGACAAGGCCACATGCTTGGCTGGGAATCGTGGTGAGAAGGAGGTGGACAAAGTAAGCAGCCGTGGGGAAACCAAGCCTGCAGCTCCTCCTGCCAGGCACCCTCCACAGCCACTCAGAGTTGAGAGTGGGAAGAGCGAAAAGCTCTCTGGCTTCCCCTCTTTGCAGAAAGAAAGCCCCAACGAGCCTGAGAGGAAAGAACCGCTTCTGCAAAGGCACCTCAGCAGTGGCCCTCAGCCCCCGCCAACCACCAAAGAGCTGTCCAGACTGGCTACCCAGCAGCAGTGCACTTCCCCCAGCCACACTTCTGGCAGGGAGCTGGAGACCATGCCTGGTGTTGCAGAACCAGGCCTGGGCCCCCAGGACGCCCCCAGGTCTGCTGTTGCTCTGTACTGTGAGAGCAGCAGCCCCAAGCCCCACCCTGGCGCTGATCCCAGCACACCAAAGTCCAAGCAACCAGACAGGTCCCTGTCCTCACAGAAACTAAGTGTTGGAGCTGCAAAGAGCAAAGAGCCTGTCACTCAGCCACTTGGTGGCTTTAACAGAGATGGGAAGGGCAACGCCAAGATCATGCTGGATGTGTTCCCTGCCATCCCAGGCTCCCAGAGCAAAGCCAGCAGTGCAGTTGGCCATGGAGAGAGTGGGCCCTCTGTCCCACTGCATACTGAAGAGGGTCTTGTAGATGCCACGCCAAAACCCACTAGTGGCAGGCATCCCCCAGAGATGCAGGAGAAGCCCATACATTTGCCGCGGCCAGGGCACACAGGATCCAATGAGGTGGTAGACCAGAAACCTCCCCCTGTTAGTGAGAAGCAAAGCCTGTCTCCAAAGCATCCCAAACCATCCACTGTGAAAGATAGACAGACAGACAAAAGCCCAAGTCAGCAGGCCACTGCCTTGGACAGGAAGGCCGAAGAGAAGAAATGCACAGAAGCACTTTACTTTGCAGCCACAGATGGTAGGAAGCAGGAGGCCAGCCTCTCCATCACGCATGGAGAGAGTCGGCCAAAAGGCATGGAGAGGCCAGCCACAGGGGTGGGGAAGGGCTTCCCAGAGCCGAAGGGCAAAGGGTCTGGGCCCCAGAAGCCCTTGGCTGAGGTGGGCAAGCTCAGCAGCATGAAACGGTCACCCTCAGCCACTGGGCAGAGTTCTTTGCGTTCTGCTGCCCTCCCAGAGAAGTTCTTGAGCTACTCCAGCTTCCCTGAGGCCCGGCTAGGGCCAGGAGCCAGAGAGACCACCCCAGCCAGTGGTGACTCCTCTTCAGCCAAGGCCAATGGGGGCATGCTAGAGCCTCTAGCCACCAGCCACAGGGACCACAAGAAGCCCCAGTCTTGGGGAGATGGCAGAACCCTAATGACAAAGAGCGACTCCTTGCCATCCTTCCGCCTCTCTGCCACTGCCCTAGAGTCAAACCAGTCCGACTTACATGTGTCGGGTGGAGCTGGCCACCGAGACAGGGCATTCTCTGTAACTGCCACCATGGGAGAAACCAAAGGGAGAGAGTCTGCCCCTGCCCAGCCTCCCCCACCTAGGAAACAGAACCAGGGCAGGGAGGTGACCAAGGCATCAGCGACCCTAAACACAGATCGCCCCATCACCCTTTCTTCAGAGAAGGACTTTGTGGTGCGGCAGAGGCGGGGCAAAGAGAGTTTGCGTAGCAGCCCTCACAAAAAGGCCTCCTAAGGGGCCAGGTTCTGGGGCAGGACAGTGGAGACCTGGCCAGGTTCGAGTATGTGACTGTTGAGACCACCTTCGAAACCAGCACTGTGGGAATGAATGTCCACTGGGCAGAGCTTGCGCCTCACTGAGGAGGGGGAGAGAAACAGAGGGAACCTTCTTCCAGATGCCTTCCCAGTTGTAACCGGTAAAACTGTTACCAGATAGTGTTCATACAAAAAAAAAAAAAAAAAAAGTTTTTTTCCTTTACAAAATAGAGGGTTGCTGAGAAAAGAAATTTTTCTCTGTAAATATCTAGCAATGTGTTTGGTTTGGGATGTAGCGTCCATACCTTGCTGCTGATTGCATCGTTCACTACAGCTTTTGAAAATTAAGATCTTTGCTTTACCACTTAGGATCATGTAGAAATGATGCAAAATGGTCAAAACTGGGTGTAAGTAAAAATATAGATACATACACATCTGTGTCTATAATCTACCTACAGATTTTGCTCTGTGGATGGGAATATTTCAAGACTCCATTTTCATAAGTAGAGTCAAAGATGCAAGAAAGCCCTCAATACAGTAGATTGTGAGTTTTTATGTGTATTTTTAACCAGAGTTTTCTGATAGTACTATATCAGGCCTCCAATATTTCCAGATCTTAAAATAAAACAAAAAACTGCTCCAATCACTGCATTTGGAATCCTCCATTACAAATGGCAGGATAAATGGAATCAATCAGGTTCATTTCAGAGTCACCCCTGTGGACACTTTTGAACCAAAGGCCAGTTGTCCTTTTCTGTAGGTTTTATGTCTGGTCTTTACCCAAAGTAGAGCAGGGACTATAAACACACATCAATTTTATTTCTATTTTTTCTTTTCTTTTCAAGCTCTTACATGTAGGCCTTTACGCTGTGAGTGAGTAGTCCAAGAAGCACAGGTTTTGTGGTAGTCCTCGCACCAGCCCTGCTCTGGAATGAAAAGGAAAATTCCTGGCTGCACACAAATCTGCTAGTACTTAAGTCATAAGCATCAGGCATTGGAAGAGGTTTTACGTTTGCTTTTTTGAGGAAAAGAAAGGGGGGTGGATTTTGGCATCATAGCGTATATATATATATATATTAAGGAATAATCAGGACATCAGATACATTTTAACACATAGCTGGGGCCTTATGTTGTAGATGAAGCTTGCTGTTTTTAGCAAGTTCCTGGGTTTCACATTCATTTTTGATGCATCAAGTAGCTCCGAACACTGCATAACATCCTGTCTTTATTTGTATGCAAAAAATACTGTTAATAAAAAGCAACATTTTTGTAACTAAGAGACTTCCTGGAGCTATTTGGTGCTTGAATGTGACCATCCTTTTTACTTTTGCTAAGCCTTATTTAAATTTTGTACACCATGAAATATGTAGAATTTGTCAAATCATTTTAGTGCTTTGAGGGTTCTTTATTTGTTATTGTTGCAGGGTTTTATTTTGTGGTGGTGGCTTGTTTTGAATTATAAGATGGCACTCACTGACATAAGTACTGAGGCTCTAAGAGATAGCAGATAAGTATTTATAAGATGCTTGGGATCCATAGCAGGATTTTTTTGTTTTGTTTTGTTTTATAAAAGGAAAAATATTACCAATAAATAATCTAGCACCAAACTCCCTCGAGGGATGTCTTAGTATCTTCATGCTATAAAACTGTTTATGTAAGCACAGCATTATCTTACAGCCCTGTGGATTGTAAATCATCTAGCAAGGCTGTAAACACTCCAAAAACAAAGGCATAACTTAACTAACTGCTCAGTTTGTAAAATAAGTTGGCAATGGCTAAAAGAAAACAGTCTGCTCCTTGCCCCCATTTTTTTCCATTCAGTTTTGGCCTTCCCCATCATTTTATTGTGAAACTGCAAAAGAAAAAAAATATTTTTTACAAGAACTTAAATGGGTTTCCAAAGTGGTCTCAAGACTTGTAATACATATCTGTTTGGCAGTTGTCATAGTCCTATCCTTCTACACTGATTGAGACAGGTCTGTTTGGGAGGTAGTTCATGGTTTACAGCCTTTGCTTTTTAACTGTCCAGTTTTCTTTGAAGCACAACTAGCTGCTTGTTTACAAAGGATATTTTTATGTATATTTTGTATAGTGTATTATCATTTTTGCCAAATGTTTTTGCATTTTGGATGAGTAAAGAGTACTTAAGGTTGCATTCATGTAATACTTGTTTGTTGTGAACCGCCCGAATCAGCTGGTAGAAATTCTCCTGTGTTCTAGTTGGTCAGTCTCTGTGTGATTGTAATATGTGCTCCTCGGTAGTACTCCCAGCTGTAGACTTACCAGCTTGAAAGTTTGTTAGAATCTGTGCAATAAAGTGTTTGCAGTCTTATTTTCTCTAAGAAATCCCCCCATGGATGTCATAATTGTTGTATATTGAACAAATATTTATACTTATGCAATTGCATAACATTGAATAAAAATTTAGCATGAAAGATAATGACTAGTGTTTTTTCAAATATGTACATATAGACCACACCCCGAATGTTATTAATCTATATTATAAAGAATATGGGTTTTTATAAATTGCTTTTGGTAAGCGGCAAGATTTGCCTTTTTTCTTTTGACCTACATGAAGAGTCTATTCTTTAATTAAGTCTTCTGATTCCTTGCTTTTTTTCCTCCAGCCTTCTTTGCCTGCAGAACTTACTGATTTCCATGCCTGCATTCCCCATCTGCACTGAAGTCTCCAGGAAGAGATGTTTTTTCTCCCACAGCAGTGGTGGCAAACCTAAGGCACACGTACCGCTATGGGCTATTTGTATCATGGAAAGCTCTAGAAGGTTCGCCATCACAGTTTTTGATCTTTCTGTGATACAAGCAGCTTGCTGTACGTTCACCACCACCGCTCTAGAAGGCTCACCATCACTGCCCTCCGCCAGTGCCTCCTCACAGTATTCCAGGACCCTGCTCAACCCTTCACCATTCATTTTCTTCCCAACTCATTACTTTCCTTTTTCCCCTAGTTCCCTTCTAGGCTGACCTCTTAAGTGTCTGCATTTGTCAGTTCCAGTCTTCATATCTGCCCTGGCTTCTGTCTACCACATCGTCAGCGTTGCTCTCCGAGGATTGCCACAGATACCCGACTGAATGCAAAGCTCGGAGATCACTAATGTAGCCCATCTCTAACCTGGACACTAGTCTCCTTACACTCCTCTGTTTTGGTTCTCTTCTCTTTTATCTGTTCCTTTTTTACTTAATTTCTTCTTCTTCTTCATCTGAGTGCTTCTGCCTTCCTACCAGTGTTCCCAGGTTCATTCTTCATTGTACATTTCTTTACACTCTCTGCTTTGTCTTTTCTTTCACCATGGGGCATTTTTACTTGGTGCCTCATTCTCAAAATGTCCAAAATTATGTCCATGCTATTATCTGCCCCTCACTCAAAGCACACTCCACTTTCCACCAGGCCAAATCCAAGGTTTCCATAAAAAAGATCACTAAGACCCACTATTGTCACATTTTTTGTCCCCTAACCCACTTTTCTACCACCAGCAGCCTTTATCTGTCATGTTCTCTGCCCCAGATGACCCCAACAGCCTCTGAACTGGTTTTCTTGCCTCCTACTGTTTTTCAAAATATACCTGAAGAGATATTTCCCGAATGTTAGGACACCATATTAATGCTTGTTCTAAGCCTTTAAATAACTTCCATAGTCTTTGGAGTAAAGGCCAGCTTCTTAAATGTGCTCCTAGCCTATCTGTTAGGCCATTTTTGGTGGTTATACCTGACACTGAGAACTTTAACAATGCAAGGGTTTGCTTATATTGCAGTTTGGGAGACTGAGTGATGTGATCTGGCTCTGGCATGGTCAGAGTCCATGTTATGGCATCATAACAGTCGAAGCATGCGCAGAAGAGAGCACAGTGTGGGACAGGAAGCCAGAGGGACTGAAGAGCCAGGCCTGCTCTTTTATAATAATTCACTCTTGCAAAAATTGAGGTCTGGTAAAGAACATTAATCCCTTTCAAGGGTGCACCTCTAATAACACCACTACCTTTTACTAGGCCTCACCTCAATATCAACACCAGGCACCAAGCATCCAGCACACCAACCTTTGGGATACACAGCATATCCATACCGTAGCAGCCTAGGTAACTCAGCTACCTATGAGTAAGTATTCTGGGCCCCAGCATCTGGAGGAAGCCTTTCCTGATGGCCTGTGCATCTCCTTTATGAATTCACTACATCATTTTGAAACTGTTTCTCTGTGTTATTGGGCTTCAAGCTCCCTGAATACCTGTCTCCTTGTCTGGGCCAAACACATAGGAAACATCAATAAATAACTGCCAAACTGAGTTAAACCAAAAAGGTTTATTAGTGGCTAGCTACCTTTGGTGATATTCTTACCTCCAAGCACCACATTATAGACTTGAGGTACAACTTCTCATTATGCATTTCCTTTGATCTGTATTTTGTTTCATTTTATCCATTTGGAAAGCAAGACCCAGGAAGATAAGTTTAAAGATTAATCCTAGTGATTGGTTTTCGAAGTTCAAGTCCTATTTTTGCCAGACTGGATCACCTAAATCTAACCTCTACTGTTAGCCAAGACTCACCTTCCCTTTCTCTTTTACAAAATAAGCCATAAGAGGGAAAGAATCATGACAATGATTTTCACTGCCTGAATAATATAGTCGTCTCTGCTTAGAGGAACTCACTCTGCTGAGATTCACATTTTTAAAAAATGATTACGATGATCATTTTAATGGTATTTGATACCATGCTATGAAGAGAAGTCATCTGTCACTATGAAGGAAAAACCCACAAAGGATATTAAGCACACATATCTCAGAGCCAATAATAGCCATAGTCATAGCAATAACTATTAAGCAACTAATTTAGGGTGAATACATAAAGGTGAATGAAAAAAAAGTTTGATGTTTCAAATGTACCCACCCTATTGTATCCTGGGTGCAATTAAAAGGTCATTAAGCCAAGTGTGGCACACACCAGAAACCCAGCTACCCATGAGGCCAAGGCAGAAGGATCTCAAGTTCAAGACCAGCCTGGGCAATTTAGTGAGACCCTGTCTCAGATTTTTAAAAAGGCTAGGGTGTAGCTCACTGGTAGATCTCTAGTTCTACCTAGACATGCATGAGGTTCTGGGTTCATTCTCCAGTAGTAAAGGAAGTGAGAAGAAAAGCTCACTAAAGGGCCGACAACTGGACAATCATACTCTTACACATCTGCCCACTGGGACAGTGTATGTCACATTTTCAGCATCACTTTTATTTTGAGTTTTAAGATGCAACTGTAGTTCAATATATGTTTAGAATATAGTATTCACCTAACAAACTGAGGACTCCATCTCTTCCTTGAAAGTGTGAGGCATTGCTTTTGGCAAATCTCTAGCAATGTAAGTACAATTGAGTGCAGCCTATTGGAATAGGTTTTTGAACCAGGAATGAGAATTAAGAAGGGGCTGGGTATAAGACTACCAGAAGAACTGGAGAATTCACAAGTGGGACATAGGTATTAAGATGAGGAGAAATTACTTCTAAAAAATAAGACACTATCCCACCCATGTGGGATAATCACACTGTACCTTCAACAGCTAATCACTTAAAAGAGAGAAACAGGTAATTTGAAGACCTGGAATGAAGCAGCACACCTCGAATCTCTATAATATGCACACAAATCGCATGGGAATCACACAGATTTTGGTTTAGAAGGCTAGGCGGGGCGGAAAATTCTGAGACTTTTAACAAGCTGTTAAGTGATTCAGATGGTACCTGCTTGGCCATACCAGGGAATTAGAATCTGAAGCTTGGATTCAGGCATCTATAACTTTTAAAAATCTCAGATGATTCCAATGTGCAGTGAATGGCAAAAAGATATACAGGTTGACTATCTGTTTAATTCATTCCCCTACCTCCAGGTGGTGAAATTACAGAGCATTTAAGATACTTCACATTGGCAGCAACTACAACCCAGCCCCTCCATACCAAAGTGTGGCCCTCAGACCAACAACTACATCCCCCTAGAAGCAATCTAGAATCACAATCCTAGGTTCTACCCCAGGCACAGTGATTTTCTGCATTTTAACATAATAGCCAAGTTATTTGCCCATTAAAGTTTGAGAAGGCATTACCACTATTTTCCAAACTTCCTGAAAGTTAATTAAGATATTTATTAAACATACAAATTTCCACACACCTTTCCAGATCCATTAAAAAAAATCTCTAGGAAGAGGACTTGGAATCTGGATTTATGACCAGGACCTGGGAGGGGCAGATTACCTGTGAGGAAGGCATGGGTGGTGCTGGTCTAAGGATATGTTAATCATGCATGCTTGGATTTGCCTACAGCTAAGGTCAGGAATAATTAGTGCTTCTTTGAGCCCTTTTCCATAGAAAAACCCATCCTGAAAAGCCATAAAACTATCAGAAAATAAATAATCACTTATTGTTTATTACCATATACACTTAGCACTGGGCAAGATACTCTTCATCTGCCATCTTATTTGAGCCTCAACATGATCCTCAAACCATGTGGTGGTACATCTGTCTTACAAAGAAAGATATAGGGCCCAGTGGTGGCAAACCTATGGCTTTTTTTTAAGACAAAACTTTTTTTTTTTTTGATACTGGGGATCAAACTCAGTCCTTACGCTTGTGAGGCAGGTGGTGGAACCACTGAGTCAAATCCCTAGCTCAAGACAAAAGATCTTAATGTCTGAATTTTTTAAAAAGATAAAACCTTAATATTCAGGCTTAATTGAAGTTGAATTTTGAGATAAATAAGTGGGTTTTAAGTTCCAGTTTGGGCATTCATCCGTAAAAGGTTTGCCATCGCTGATGTAGGCTGCATAGTTTGCTCAGTGAGTACCATGTAAAGAGAGCTGGGATTAGAATCCAGACTTCTGGTTCTAAAACTTTTTACTTTTTACTTTTTTTTTTTTGGTACAGAGGATTGAACTTGGGACCTTACACTTGTGAAGCAGGTGGCAGAACCACCCAGATAAATTCCCAGCCCATTTTTGGCCTTTCCACACAGTAGCAAACATTGTGTAATTGAGTTCAAATCCAGGATCCTCTATGGATGATCTAAGCTATCTTATTTTCTCTCTCCTCAACACAGATTAATCAGGCCATACTGTTACAAGTTTGATGATTGGTGGTGAAACATAAGCAAAGGAAGCTAATCATTCTCTGTAATAGGGCTCCTTTATTAGTTACAGTTAATCAGCAGGCAATTTCCCATCTAGCATTTTCGGTTCACAACCCAAATGTAACATGAAAAAGTATAGCTATATTAACTACGGAAATTTGCTTCCTTCAGTATAGGCCAATCATTAAGAACTGGGTGGTTGAATAATTCTCTAAATTTAATTTCCCTTCCACTAGTAAGTTTAACTCAATCCTCAAAATGACCATTTTTCTTATTCCCTTCTATCCCCTATTCTGGTTAATATTGTATGAACATTTCATATTCAGAAAAGCTAG